GGGGACTCTATCGACGCCGAGGGCACGATAGTGCTTCCCGTTGTGGTCGGTGACGGTACCTGTCAGGCGAAGATTGACATGGAGTTCGTGGTTGTCAACCTGGACAGCGCCCACAACATGATCTGGGGACGACCGGCCTTGGAGGACCTGGAGGCCATCATCTCCATGAGACACCTATGCCTCAAGTTCCCCACCAAGGAAGGCGTCGGCTACGCCAGAGGGAACCAGAAGATAGCCAGGGCTTGCTACCTGAAGCTCACAAGAAAGATCAATGAGGCCGAGGAGTGGATAGACACCATCACCACCGCCTCGGCCGAAGAAGACACACCAAAGGCTGAACCGGTCGGAGACGTGGAAGACGTTCCGTTGGACGTCTCCCGGCCGGAACGCACGCTGAAGATTGGGACACAGCTCCCCCGACAGATCCGAAGGGACATCCTCTCTGTCCTGAGAGCATACGCCGTTGTCTTCGCATGGGGACCAGAGGACATGCCGGGCATCAGCCCAAAGGTAATTACACATCGGCTATCGGTGAACCCGGCCTCCTCCCCCATCAAGCAGAAGAAGCGCTACCTCTCAGCCGACAGGAGGGAATTTGTCAAAGCCGAGGTGGCCATGCTGCTCTCCATCAAACACATCAAAGAGGTGAAGTACCCCACGTGGTTGGCGAACGTCGTCCTCGCACCAAAGCCGCCCACGTTCAGAATGTGTGTTGATTACACTGACCTGAACAAGGCGTGCCCGATGGACCCATTCCCTCTCCCCAACATTGATCAGTTGGTGGATGAGACGGCGGGGTGCGAGTTGATGTCGTTCCTCGACGCGTTCAGAGGGTACCACCAGATATCCATGCACGAAGATGACGCGGAGAAGACTGCTTTTATGACCCCGGAGGGAATCTTTTGCTACCTCGTCATGGCCTTTGGGCTCAAGAACTCCGGCGCCACTTACACAAGGATGGTAGCCCGGATTTTTAGAGCAGTCTTAGGTCGGACGATGGAAGCATACGTCGACGATATGATCGTCAAGAGCAAACAATCCACAACCCATGCCGACGACCTCCGGGGCATCTTCGAGATCATGAAGAGATACAACCTCCGGCTCAATCCGAAGAAGTGCACTTTCGGCGTCCAGGGAGGTAAATTCTTGGGGTACCTAGTCAGCCGAAGGGGCATCGAGGTGAACCCAGAGAAAATACAAGCCATCATCAATATGGAGCCACCCCGCAACATCAAAGAAGTGCAACGGCTGACGGGACGCCTTGCGGCCCTGAACCGTTTCCTTTCAAAATCCGCGGAGAAGTCGCTCCCTTTCTTCCAAATAATGAGAAAGGCCACTAGCTTCAAATGGACGACGGAGTGCCAACAAGCCTTTGACAAACTGAAGCAATATCTCGCCTCCCCACCCGTCCTATCCAAGCCCCAACCCGGCGAGACTCTCTTCCTCTATTTAGGAGTGAGCACGTCGGCCGTCAGCTCCGTACTCATCAGGGAGGATGACGGAGTACAAAAGGCAATATTCTACGTCAGCAAGACGTTGCGGGAGGCCGAGCTCAGGTACTCCCCCATTGAGAAGACGGTGCTGGCCATCGTCCACACGGTGAAAAAACTGGGGCACTATTTCCAGGCCCACCCCGTCCACGTCCTCACGCATCAGCCGTTGGGCGCCCTCATGAGGAGCCCAACCAGCTCTCCAAGGATGATCAAATGGGCGATATTCCTGAGCCAGTACCAGATTGAGATCAAGCCGAGGCCATCCATCAAAGGGCAAGCCTTAGCTGACTTCGTCACCGAGTGCACGGCAAGGGAGACGGCCGTTACCACCACAGGAGCTGAACCGGACGAAGCCTGGACCCTCTACACGGACGGGTCCTCGGCCACCAAAGCTTGTGGAGGTGGCGTCGTCCTCATCTCCCCGGAGGGTTTCAGAGCGTACTACGCCATCCGCTTCAACTTCAAAGTATCCAACAATGAAGCCGAGTATGAAGCGCTCCTCAGCGGACTCAGACTAGCCGCTGGCCTTAAAGCACGCCACGTCAGAATCAAATGCGACTCCAAACTCGTAGTGAGCCAGATGGAGGGTTCCTACGAGGCCAAAGAAGGGAGGATGAAGCAATACAAGGAGGCCGCTGCGGAATTGCTCAAGGCATTCGATACCTACGAGATCACTCAGATCCCAAGGGCGGAGAACGCCGAGGCCGACATCCTCTCCAAACTCAGCTCCGACACCCCGGAGCACATCTCCAAGATAGCTAAGGTGGAGGAGTTGAGCATGTCAAGCATTCACGCTAGCCCCATACTCTCCATACAACACCAGCCGGAGGACTGGATCACTGACATCGCAACCTACATCGCCTCCGGCACACTACCTGAAGACGAGGAGAGGGCCAAACTCGCCAAACTTAGGGCGCCAAGCTATGTCATTGAGGGTGACAAGCTCTACAAAAGATCATACAATGGCACCCTCCTCCGGTGCCTCCACCAGAATGAGGCCGAGGTGGCCATGGAAGAAGTCCACTGCGGCGTATGCTCATCACATCAGGGGCCCTTCAGCATGTCACGCCGCCTCGTCGTCCAAGGCTACTTCTGGCCGACGATGGCACGCGATTGTGCTGAAGTCGCCCGCAAATGCAGCGCATGCCAACACTACCAAAGGGCACCTGGTCGGCCGGCCGTCAACTACGCCCCGGTCAGCACTGCCATCCCATTTTCCAGATGGGGCATCGACCTCGTCGGCCCATTACCAAGAGCTGCGGGCAACAACAGATACATCATCGTCGCCATCGATTACTTCACCAAATGGGTCGAGGCCGAACCACTCGCAAGCATCACCGGAGCGCGGTGTCGAAAGTTCGTCTACAAGAACATCCTCACCCGCTTCGGCGTGCCGCAGGAGATCATATCAGACAACGGCACCCAGTTTGAGGCCGAAACGTTCCAAAGCCTCCTCCAAGAATGGGGTATCAAGCACCGTTTCTCCTCCGTTGCCTACCCTCAGGCCAACGGGCAGGTTGAGAACGCCAACAGAACCATCTTGGAGGGGCTGAAGAAGAAACTCGAGGAAGAAGGCGGAAGTTGGGTCGACGAGCTCCCCAACGTCCTATGGTCCTACCGCACTACGCCGAGGAGGGCCACCGGGGAGACACCATTCTCCTTGTGCTACGGCTTCGAAGCCAAGGCTCCCACTGAAGTCACCCTCCCCAGCCGACGGGTCACACAATACGACCCCGAAGCCAATGAAGAAGCCATGAAGATTGATTTGCACCTCATTGATGAAAGGCGGGAGATGGCTTACCTTCGGGCAGAAAACTACAGACGACAAGTCAAATCCTACTACGACGCCAAGGTCCGCTCTCGCGAATTCCAAGTGGGGGACTACGTCCTCCGCCGAAGGGAAGCAAGCAAGCCGACGGAAGGAGGAAAGCTCGCCGTCAAATATGAAGGGCCCTACATCGTCAGCGCCGTCATCAAAGCCGGCACTTACAAACTAAAGAACCCTAATGGGTCAGATGTACCACGATTGTGGAATGTACACCACCTAATGAAATTTTACCAATGACTCGAGAAGTGGTGAAGCGGGCAACGTCCCCCACCCCTCGGCTTATTGGTTGAATAAAACACCCTCGGCCTAGCGCCACTTATTGAATAAAATTCATGTTTCATCCAAAGATTTGAACAAAGGTAAACCTAAGGACCGCATCGGCCTAAGCGGTGCAATCACCCGGGTCCGATGCGACCTAAAGCCGTCGCAATAAACGACGCACCCAAAGCCGTTGCAATAAACAACGCACCTAAAGCCGTCGCAATAAACGACGCACCCAAAGCCGTTGCAATACACAACGCACCTAAGGCCGTTGCGATCCACAACGCGCCTATAAAGCCGTTGCAATAAACAACGCACCTAAATATCGTATCGGCACAAGCGGTGAAACACCCAAATCGGCCGGCGATATGCAGGACGAAGGACCTGTGTGCATGGTCCAACGTCTTCAAACGGAGAAGCATACCGCGTCGTCCGCGCGGAAACCGCAGGACGACAGGCCTGAATTAAGGCTGAGGTTACAAAAACTCCACCCGTCAGTAAAATTTCGCTCAGGACCACAAAGGGCGGCCGTCAAAAGACGATGCCTTGTCCGGTCCCTCGTCGATGATAGACGTGGAAAGGCCAAAAAAGGAAGCCACTGACACCAAGCCGAGGGCGTGTTTACTCCCTCGCACTAATCCACGCGAAAAGCGTAGCGGACAAACTACCGCACATGGACGAAGGGACAGTAACCCTCCGACCACTTAAAAAAAAAAAAAGAAAAAAAAAAAAAGAAAAAAAAAAAAAAAGAGGGAAGCCGACGGACCGCGCACTCGCCGGCCTCGAGCATAAAACAAAATCCCCACAAAAACCAAGCCTCAAAATCGGCTAAGTACATATCAGGTTTTTACTAAACAGGAATCCGAAGTAAACCGCTTCGGCCTCAGTCACCCGAGATCACATTCCAGCACTCGGACGATGAGTCGCATCGTCTACAAGTAACAAAACCTAAGTGATAAAAAGGAGCGAAACACCCACAGCTAGGCAAACTTGACACTTAGCAAATTATCTGAGCCGCATCACCACAAAGACGATGCACTACCAATGCGTATCGCTTCGTCCCCGACACTTCAGGATCAAAATCCAAGAACATGACTCGGAATAGTTGTCAAGACAAAAATGGAATTCATCAAGGGACGACGAGGCGCATCGTCTTCAAAGAATGGGGGTCGCTACGTCTCCCATTAAAAGGGCCAAAACAGAAACGTGGTACTTGGACAAATGCTAAAACATTGGGACCACATCTCACTCCAGACGATGGAATACATCACCTAAGCCGTTGCGCTCCCATACTCACAAAGGGTCGCGACGTCTTAAACGCACGAGACATGTTTTGATACTGACTCAGAAATTCTGAGAAATAAGTCTCGGGGGTACGCAGACGAAGGAGCGCTTCGTCTCAATCACGCAGGGGCGCACTCCCCCCTGATACTTGGTAAGAATTTTGGAAAAAATCAAAAAGGAATACGAGGACGATAAAGACGAAGCAACACATTCATTCAAAGGCAAAAGAGTTCATTAAATTCAGATATCAAATACAAAGGGTGGGCGCTTCGGCCGTTACATGCACTTTGGTGCTGGAGCTACAAAAGTAATAAAAAGGCTAAGTACAAACTACGCTGCCTCAACGACTTGCTCTTTCCTCTGGCCGGCGTCCTCCTCACTGCCACTGCCGGCATCGTCGTCGCCACCATCCGCACCGGCCTGAGAATCAGCTGGCCCTTCGAGCAAGTAATCATCGCTGTCGCTCCAAGATGCTTCCCCCTCGTCCGAGCTAAGGATCGGAGGCTGCCTCTCCGACGGGGGGAGCTTCATGTCCTCATCAGGGTTTCTCATCCGCCGGGGTAGACTCAAGCCCCTCGGCCTCATCTTCCGGAAGCGACGACGAAGCTTCCTGTAAATCAGCCTCTGCATCCTATACTGGCCGCAGTTGTAGAAAGCTCGCGTCTCGTTCATCCAGAAGTCCTCGCCGGCGGGGTCTTTTGTCACCCAATCTGTGAGCCTCTCGGCCACCACCTTATAGCAGAAGGGGATCTGATCTTCAGTTTTCCACCCCTCAGCCGTGAAATCGGCTACGGCCTTAGCAGCGGCCACCTCGGCGTCAGCTTTGAGCCGCTCCGCCTCCTCGGCCCTCTTGACGGCGGCGGCAACAGCTTCATCGGCCTTATTCCGGACCGCCTCGGCCTCATCAAGGCGCATCCGAAGGAGCTTCATTTCATCCTCCGCGGCCTTGGCCCTGTCCCTCAGATCTTGAAGGGCCTCATCGGCTGAAGCAGCCTTGGCCTCCATCTTTTTCAGCCGCTCTATCTCGGCTTCCTGCCTCCAATGCTGCTCCCTCAGCATAAGGGCACCCTGGACGAAGCAGAACAAAGTTAGAGATGAAAAAACAAAAGCAAAGGAAAAATTATAAAGGAAAATGTCTTACCTGGACGACATAATCTATCCCTCCGTCGTACAACCGAACATGTTGGCCTTGTCGGCCGAGATACTGACGATCATACTCAGGCATAGCCTGAGCAAGCATGTCGTCACCACCAACAGTCTCGTTAAAAAGACCACCTTTCACGGGGTATCGTACGGTGACTTCGTACGACCCCTTGGCCAGAGCCTCCTCCAGACGGGCAGCAGCGGCCGTAGAGGGAAGCACACGAGAAGCCGAGGCCACCATGGCCGAGGAGGGCAGATCATTCACAGGAGGGAGCACCGGCGGCTGAACATCCACAACAGCCTGAAAAGGAGCACCGGCCTCATCAGTCGTTGAAGCCCTCTTCGTCTTCTTCGAAGCCTGGCTCGGCTTCAGTCCAGCTTCAGCCAGAGTCTTTTGGCCCTCATCGGCAGCCTTCCTACTCTTTTTAGCCGCCGGTTTCCTAACGGCCTCAGCACCTCCTTGAGGACCACCCGCAGACTTCTTGGCTGCCTCAGCAGCCTGGGCGGCCTTGAGCTCGGCATCGGCCTTCTTGGCGGCTCGAGCCATGAAAGATACGCGGTCCATGACAAAACCTGCACAAAACAAAGGAACATCAGTAAAGCAATAACTAACATACTACGGGAAAGGTAAGAAGACGAAGGACAACCTTCGGCCTCGGCAGGAACGCCAAGTGAGGGACCGTCGGCTGGCTCATAAGACCCCTCCATTTTCGGCCAGAAGTCATCGTCCACATCACCGGGACAATAGTATCTCACGAAGCCGAGGGCGGCCATCTTATACTCGGTAACATACGTTGTAATACTCCTCGGACCGCCCTTAAGGAAAGCCTCCACCTGCCTACTGATCTCGGCATTCCACGGAGGATTATGCAACTCAAACAAGCCGCTGTGACCCGCGGACGGGAAGTAACCGCCTCGGCCAAGGTTAACGAAGACAAACTTTGCCTTCCAACCATGGATTGATGTAGGAAGGTCCGTAAACGTCCTCCTCTTGGGGACCTGCTGTAAGGCGGCATAGCCGGCGCAATTCTGGTGACTCCCTCGGCCTATCCGGTATAGATTGGTGAAAAGCGCGGTCGTCGGCGAGAACCCCAACTCACCACAACGGATCAGGAAGCCAACGATCAAAGAATAGCTATTTGGGGTCAACAACGCCGGAGGGAGACCCACCATGTTCAAGTATTCAGTTATAAAGGGATGAAGGGGGAACCGCAAACCCTTCGCAAAACTCATTGGGTATATCCCGAAGTAACCCAAAGGGGGGCTCAATACATGATCCGTCGGCTTCGGCGCTCGAACCCGCCCATATGGCCCCACATACAACTGGGCGACATGATACTCGCCGAGGGTCCCCTCCGGCCGAATGATGTAGAGGTTACTAAGATCAAGCTGCGAGTGTCCCTGCGGTACTCCCTTACGCTGCTTCCGCCGATACGGTTTCTTCGTCTTGGGAGCTGAGGGGCCTTCCCCCGCTACGGACGATATCGGCGGAGGACAAGGAATGTTAGCAGAAGAGGATGCCTCATCCCCTCTCAGAGGCGAGCTAGATATCGCCTCGTCTTCACCAGAATGACGCGCTCCCGCATCGGCACTCATCCTCTCCTCATCCACGGAGGTGCGGTAGTCAGCTGTATTCTCCATCTCAGCTTCAAATGCTTCCACTATCCGAGGATCAACTCTAGGGGAGGTATCGTCCTCGTCAAAGGGCCAGTCCTCTTCGTCCAACGAAGCTGTTAAGTCAATAGGGGAGGGAGCGCTACGGCCGTTAGAGAACGGCATAACACCTACACCTATTCCTAAGGGCGGTTTTTCGGATCAAAGTGGTTTCCCTACAAACACTAGATCTAACCCCCTAGGAAGCAAAGTATAAGGAAAAAACGAAGAACAAAGAAGAATCTAACCTTTGAAGATTTGAAGATCTGGAAAAGATTGATGAAGACTTGAAGGAACACTCCGAAGGTTTCTCTCTCTAGAAAGTTTGACAGCACTTCGTTGCTCAGCAAGGTTGCAAATGAGGTATCGCCTCGGGGGTTAGGGGTATTTATAGGCACCCCTCCAACGGTCACTACACGTGGCAATCCCCAATTGGGCACCTCAACGGCGCCTCTCCTAGAAGCCAATCAGCGCTTGTCTTTTCACATTCCACTCTAAAGCCACCACTACGGCCCAATAGGCCCCGAAACTAGGGGTAGACACCGGCCTACTCGCTCAAACGCAATAAGAAACTCGCTACGGCCCAATTCACCAAGGAAATGGCCGCATCAACAAACACGCTACGGCCCCAAATCAACCCCAAGAAACACAAGTACCGCTACGGCTACTCACACGCACATCGTTTGATGATGACCCTGGTATTGCGGCCTTCGTCCAAGGGTTCTCCCACAGGGTTACTTTGGACAGGTTCGCCTAAGGGTTGGACTCACGACTAACGCATGGGTACCGCATCGGCTCGAGAACATCATGACTCCCTTGTGCCTCAGATACTCTTCGGCCAAAGGAGTGGGGGACTGGGGGACTGTATCGGCCACAAGAAAGAAAACAACATAAAAAGGGAGCGCAACGGCCTTAAGTGCAAAAAGGGTGCGCTACGGCTCACTAATTAGCCGCGAATCACCTCAATGACATGGCGGATCGCATCGGCTACAGACCCCAAAAAATTTAAAACACTAATACAAAATACAGCGCGCGACAACTACGTACATTGGGGGGACTGCGTCGGCTCACTAAAGCAAGAATACACAAGTCAAAGCGCTTCGGCCGCATAACAAATTAAAAGAGTGCGGCTCGCATCGACCTCACAAACGAAATCAAACATCTTCGCTTCATGAAATTATGTCACCACCACGGCCAAAAGTATGTGGGACCTCTTCGGCCCCGACAAATAATGATGAAACAGGTCAGCTCCATAATTCACATCTACTGGAAAGAGAAAGCGCGCCGCATCATCTTCAAAACACTTCACAGAGAGCGCATCGGCCGCACCAAGGCTGTGAGTCCTCAAGCGCGCTTCGTCTACATCAAATGAGGGAACCGCTTCATCCAAAATCAAAGCAAGACCTCTTCGGCCACCAAGCACCTCGAGCTCACACAACGGCCAGCCAGAAAGGAACAAGTACTCCCTTTCGCTTCGGCTTCGCCTCAGCTCAGAGAGTGGGGGACTCCTGATAGAGTATATGGGCCTGGACCCCATGGCCCACATACTCAAGTCAACGATGACCAGAACACCATCCACATGGCCCCTTCGGCCAGTGGGTCCGCATCGGCCAGAAACCGAACCGGCCCAGGAAGCACGCCTGGACTCCCGGGGGACCGCATCGGCTCATGGATCGCATCGGCCATGGTACCGCATCGGCCAAAGGGCCGCATCGGCCACAGTTCACCCTGGCAGAATGCATCTCTCTACTTTATTTACTAAGTATTGTACACAGCCCATTAGTGGCCCTATTTCGCCCAAAGAAGGCATGATTATTGTAATGGGCCTCCTAAGCCCATGGCTAGGGGCCCAAACCCACATTTTTACCTATAAATAGACCCCTTGGGGCTAGTTATAGGGGGTTGAGAAATATAATTACTCACTTTCTCTCTCTAGCTCTCACTTCTCTCTAGAATTAATACGCTATCAGGTACTTACTCTGTACTGTAATTATTGATCATAATGATTACGGAGTATAAGGATGTTTTTACTTGGACTGTAATTTGTTCCAGACCAGACCAGACCAGTCCAGACCAGACCAGACAAGTTCAGACCAGACCAGACCAGACCAGACTTGGATAGTTATAAAAATACAAAGAAACCAGACCTTACCAGACCAGACCAGACCAGTTCAGACCAAACCAGACCAGATCAGACCAGACCAGACCAGCAAATTACAGTCCAAGTAAAAACATCCTAAAATAAATACCCAGGGATTAGGAATTTAGGATCTCACTTCCACCTAAAAATTTGAGACTCTGGCTATTAAGGTTCAGTTACTGTATCTCTCAGGTAAAAAGAACCCTTAATTATTCCGCTAATTAAATTATTATTAGGGAAAAGGTACATATATACCCTTGTAGTATAGGTGGAGGAACAAATATACCCATGTTCTATTTTTCGGAACAAATATATCCCTGAACTTTTAAAAAGGTGCAAAAATATCCCTCATTTTTTATAAAGGAGTAAATTAATCCTTATTGACTTTAAATTAATCATTTTTATAATTTATATTTGGTTTTTTGAAATTTATTTTATTAATTTAAAGTCAATAAGGATTAATTTGCCCCTTTATAAGAACATGATGGATATTTTTGCACCTTTTTAAAAGTTCAGGGGTATATTTGTTCTGAAAAATAGAACAGGGGTATATCTGTTCCCACACCCATACTACAAGGGTATATTTGTACCTTTTCCCTTATTATTATGTTGCGCATGGACTCTTGTTATATATCCATGTTGCTTAGTGTGTAGGTTTCAGAGCAATGGCTGACCTAGGGCTAGCAGGAGCTTCACAACCCTTTAAACTTTCTAACAGGGCGACGAAATTTGAAGCCGAAGTAGATGCCGCGGATAACCCTTCAGCTGATATTGGGTAATGATCGGAACTTGGAACATTGATCCTTTATTGTTTTGCGAAGTTGCAGATTTATAAATTCATGTTTTGGTTTTAGTTTCATTAGCGCCGAAAGAAAATCTTAAAGGATTGGTTTCTACTTTGATACCCAAAGTTGCACTTTTAGATCTTCCGTTCTATTGTCATTTGTGAAGGTTCAATACCCAATCACACTTCACTTTCCACCGTTTTGAAGTGAAAAGTTCGAAGAAATAAACCCAATGATCAATCCCTTTAAGTTCATTTGAGCGTTTCTTTTTAATTGAATTACAATTTTTAGAATCTATATTGGATTGCAATTTCTCTGTGTTGACTTTTTTCTTGTGTAAACTGGAGAAAATCAAGCTTCTTGTTGAGTAGAATTCCGTTGTTTGATGGGAGTGGATACGAGATATGGAGCATCATGATGAAGACTATGTTTATATCCCAAGATCTTTGGGATTTAGTGGAGGGAGGTTATACTGAAAAAGAGCTTACTTTTGAAGAGTCATTATATGTTCGAAAGAAGGATGCCACAGCGTTGTTTTTCATTCAGCAAGCTATAGACAAATCTGTCTTTTTCTGCATTGCTAAATCCAGAACTTCTAAAGAAGCTTGGGATGCACTGCAAAATAAGTACCAAGGAGATCCAGAGGAACAAATATCATGGAAGCTGGATGATGAATCCGTTTGTTCTTTCCCTGCTTATGCAAATGAATCAGAAGAAGCTTCTTGGGATGCAATAGAGCAGGGGTATCAGTTTTGTGGCAAGGTATGAACTTGCAGTGAGTGTCATGATTTTGGCACAAGATTCTAAAGTAGGTCTATGCATTTGAATACTTGCATGATGATATTGAATAATGGTGGAGATGGCAATCAAATGAAAGAATATGGGTAGCTTTTATAATTATCCACAACAAATTTGGTGAAAGTGCGAAACAATGTTTTTTGAGTTTTCATAAGAAATTTGACCGTTTTGTGATGCTAGAAAAACTTAGAGCCCAT